CAAACGAATTCCTTGTGTATAGAAAGAGCGCACTCGTATGGGAAGACAGTGCTAAATGGAACAGTACTTAGCACCAATCCCATTCATAGACACTAACATACTGATTCTCCTTAAATCAACTATGTCCAGCCCGCTAAGACAATATGGCCACTTTTAGACTACATGTTCAGAGTCGATTCTTCACATTAGTTGCTTGAACAGGACGCGGGAATAGAAAAACCCCCTGATGCAGGTGACCTTACGATAAATTTTCTGGGAGACTACGGTTAGTGTCAAGAATTGGGTTTGGGTTAAGGTTAGGACACGAGAATAGGTACCCTTTCTGAAATTCAGCGTAAAGTCTGTATTACGCCAGGGGCGGGGTTTCTATTCCAATGTCTCCCGGTTACTTATCTTAAAAAAAAAACCAGTCTCTTTTAATGCCAATAATTGCGTTACATGAAGCTCAGTGTTCGAAAACAAAAGGCTTTTTGGAGCAACATAGTTCTCTGCAGTGGTTTGCTCATACCCCAAATTTATTTGTCAGTATCCGGCCTATTAACAAACTGTCGTTAGAGAAAATGGCTTGGCGTATTGTACTGCGGATCGTAGGTTGTGAATGGTAGGAAGGCTACGATTGCTGTTCCAACCCTGCGTGTGTAGGAGACGAAAAGGGTGTCAGCCAGGGGCGAAATTATGTGCTCGTTCATGAAATATTTTAGGATTATGCTCATCACTTAAAAACACCGGCGCTCCACCAGAGAAATCATGTTAATTCATCGTGCAGTTATGGACGGCGGCTTGCGCATTACGATCTTTGTAATACAGTACAGTAGGCGTGTTCACTCAGGAAATGTTAACCGAAATTCTGAAATGCCTCAGGATGCCGGCTTTAAATGAACTTCTTTTCGGCCACCTGCAAAATTTTACACTCTGTAAAAATGCCTACTTGAGTTGCAGGAGTTTTTCTCATTGATTTTCGATGTCTTTAAAAATCCAGATATATCTAATGTGAATCATGCATAAAAGTACTTACTCCTTCACTTGTTTGGTAAAAGATTACGTCTTCTTTAGATTTTATACTCGAAGGGAGGGTATAATTCTGTTTTAAAAAGTTTCTAATTGTGAAATTTTTAAGACCGTGAAATGTCTGTTCATTAAACATGGTGTCTCTGCATCTACCAATTTTGCTTGTAAAGTTCACAATATGGCTCAAACCCACTGCTAAATTTTATGAATTCCCTATGGTCCTCTCTTAAAACCGTATAGAAATGTGCGATTCCTCGTACACGGAAAATATACGGCCTGTAATTTGGAAACCCTGATCGCAAGTGTAATGGCAAGTCGGAGTCAAAATAATTCGGGAGTTGGAAAAATTTTTCAAAACTAAACCATTCCCTTCCTTCAAGTATATGACTCGAAGAAGACGTAATTTTCTACCAGATAAGTAAAAAATGAATGTTTTATGCATGTTTCTCATTAGATATACCTGAATTTACGAAGGTATCGAAAATAAGTGAGAAAAGTTCACGCTACTTAAGTATTCACTTTTTACAGGAAAGTTTTTAGCAGGCGGCTGGAAAGAAGTTCGTTCAAAGCTGGCATCCTAGGGCAACCGAATTATCGTTGTATTATGCTACATGGTAATTAACATTTCAACTCTACTGAAGTAATCTTTTCGAGTCGAAAACGCATTTCAGAATTTCGGTTAACATTTTGTGAGTTAGCACATCTACTGTATGTTGGAAATTAGGTAGGCAAAATCCTTGCGGTAAATACGAGAATCTGGCACCCTCTGTGAGTCCCTCCCATTTTGTATTGCCATTTGTTTCGAAGTTCGTCTGCAACCACGCTGATTGGCTTCGAAAATGAGGGTGCTGGATCCCGAAAACTCGGCTAGTTAAGTTCCTGAATGTTTTTCCTTGATAGGCTGAAAAGCCGCACCTCAAAAACTTGAACTGCACGGAAACGTTGCGAGTATTGTCGGCTCTTTTCTGTCCCAGCCCGCGGCCGTAGCTTCCGGTTTTAAATGCAGCCACTAAGCCTATAGTCGTGCCTATATCCGCGAATTTACTGCCATACAGGCAATTCGCAACAGCCCCCTATACTGCTTTAGATGCGTCTTCCTCTCAGCTTCCGCCATCTTTCTTTCCTTTTGAGCTTACGTTCATAGCCGTGATTTGATTGGCCAGCACTAGTTGCCAAGTCTGCCAGCTTTGGCCATTTCAATCCATCCCTCTCCTCTCAACTGATTGGTCGTGACTGAGCTTTCTTGCGCCATGGCAGGGGTGGGCGATCGTTGGGCCGCAACTGAAGTGCCGTCAACGACGCAGGGTGAGAGACAAGGGCAACACGCCTCTTCAGCCAAGGCTTCCGCTAAAATGCAAATTCGAAACCGGATAAACTGATTCCTTGCTTGTTTCCAGTACTAATCATCTAATTAATGCGAAACGATGACAGGGCAATGACAATTTGGATGCACCAAACGTCAGGCAACCAGAGTGGAAGAGTCTGAGTTTCGTCACAGCTTTTGCAGTCGGTCTCCTTCGCTTTCGCGCATAGCCTGCGCAGAACTACTGTAACCGTAAATCCTGTCCCAAGCATGACCCAGTGTGACCTCGGTGAGACAGATTCTAGGTAAGAACAGTTTGATTACCAAAATCGTCCGTTTCGCGCAAAACTGTTTTTGATTTTCAAGATAGCGCCACTATTCTACGCGCTTTCAGGGTCTCCTCTGCCGTTTAGTCGTTTAAATGTTTCGCCAGTTAATTTTCTCACACTCAGTACGATTATTTTCTGCCCTTATTTCGTCTCCCTTGTTTACTTTTCGAACTTTTTGGATTACGAATTATTGAATTGGTGTTTTGTCAGATCCAGATAATCTATTTGACCTTCTTGTGAAAAACTCGACGACCTCGGTGGCATTCGAACCCACGATAACAAGGGCGAAGCCTGAGTACAACCAACGCTTAATCACCTGAACTACGAGGCCCCATCAGGAGCCGTCGGTTTAATCAAACTTCACCCAAACATGATGTCCAGGCCAAAATATGCTTTGGGTAGAATGTCACTACCTTGAGCGGAAAAGCCGCACTTTTGCGCTTTTCAAGCTACCAGTACTGTGCGTTGAGAACACAAACGTGTCATCATATTCACACCATAGGGAATGGGTCGATGTTTTAGAGACAGGATTACGTTTTGCATTTCAGTATGCTTTCTAAATTCATAGACGAGACTGTTTCAAAACAGTTGGAGTAATTGTACTTCCGAAACAACACACCGAGAGATTACACCTTGTTGGCCCCACATTTTGGCAAGCGCTTCCGTGTACCAAGAACACCCTCTAAGTCTTCAGTTGCTTTCTAGCGTCACTCTGGGTTGTACATACACACAGACCAGAGACCATCATAAGCCGCAAAGTAATGAGGCTGAAAGACCTTCTACCGCACTAAGGAACGTTTAAGGTCGTCTATTGAGTCTAGTGCAGTTGTAGGAAATCCAACTACTTTGGAGAAACCAGATGACCAATCTAGACGCTGTTAGCCGATCACACATTATCGGTGTGAAGGAACGACGCCAACTCTGGAGTTAGAACTCACTCGATAGGACACATCCACCTCTAGTTTGATGAGCTTTAAATCCTCTGGAGAGCTTACAAACGCGTTAGTCATGAGGTGCTTCAGTCGTTGTTCCTCGTCCCACGCTCCATCAATATACACAACGGTGTCTCCTCTCCTTTTTCGACACTAAGTTTTTGCTTCTGTATAGCAGTTATTTATGCGGGGGAGGGGGGGGGGGGTTTGCGGACGAACACCGCCTTCAGTGACAGCAATGGTAAACCAATGGTCAAATAATTTTTAACAGCGCTGGTAGTAATATCTCGACAATTGCAGACTTGGATGCCTGGGACGAGGTCATTATCTCGACATAAACGAACATCTGCGATGGATGAAGATGTTATTAATTTTGGCGATTGAGTGTCCAAACACTGACTGCAGCATGTGCGTCCGATTCCTGTATCCGTTGTTGTCTCAAAGGATGCGTTCGAGCGCGAGTTTGAAAGTAGCGACAAAGAAAACTTCTGCTCTGCAAATCGTGTCCGCTCTGCTGCTTCATGGAACTTACCTTTTTGCTATAATCTACAGTTTCCAAGCAACTTCATATGCCTATTTCTTTAAACAAGTGCATACGTGAATAGAACACTTTTTATGTGACTAACACACTTTCAAAAAAGCAAACGCCACCTAAGTCGTCTTTCTGAAGTTGAATTGTCCTAGCTGTCCAAGAATGACACAACCGAAAGTTAACTTGTCATGGTGCGTAAGATAGCTCGAGGCCTGGCTAATGATCTTCAGGACTCTAACTGAACTTTAATCATCTTTTCTTTTTGACGAAAACGTGAGTCATCTCGGTAAAGGCCTCAGCAATATAAGGGAAATATATTAAGCTCATGAGTTATCTGGTACACTTAAAGGTGTACTTATCAATTTCGGGAGTGCTTCAATGGAAAGTCTTTGTTTTCTTCCGTCTAAAAATGGTGTCCGAAAATTTGTTTCATTAAGGCTTCTAGTCTTTTTAAAAGTTTCTTTTCATTACAGGTACATGACCTCATAAGTCTTGGTCGCTCATTCTGTGCATTTTAGCTTTGATACCTATTCATTGTTGGTATGAAGGGGAAACCGCATTCATAAAACTGAATCATCACTTTCACGTCGCTATACTTATAGGTTATCATCTGCGTGTTTGAAAATTTTGCTGACAAAGCCCTTCGGATATTACCGCACTACTTTAAAATATTGTGTTCCCAGTACGCATTTAAATCTGACATGTAAGGCAACATTATTTGACACGAAAAAGTTTTGCGAATGCTGTTCGGCTGCTTCATATCTCCTCATCGGATTACTAAGACACGATGGAGTGCGTGGAAAAAAACAAGGTCATAATCCCAAATGCACTGTCAAGTCCATGTAAAAGTAGCCCAAGGATGTAATAAGATGAAGAAATGGGAAAAATACGCCAGCATGAAAACGAGTGCGCAATTTGAATAATTAATGCACACCAGGACAAGTTCAAATTTATCGCATTGTCTGGCTGTGTGCACAAGCTGCCACCAAGTGGCCTAATGTTCGAGCTGTTCATTCACCGGTAAGAACTCGGAAAACTCGTTTTGGGTCAGCAAATTGTTTCTCATCTAACACGTGTCTCGGCATAGTAGATCAGGGCAGTTTGGCTTCTGACTTTAAGGTTCATTTAACCAAGAGTTTAACTGGCCTGTCTACTAATTGCTTTTGCGTTCGCCTAAAGAAATTCATAAACACAGTATAAAGTGGCTTGCATAGGCAGGACATACTTCGTCGAATTACTTGGAATAGTTTCCGTGGGACTTGCAGATATGGTGTGAGCCCCAATGTGTGCATTTTAAGTGCCGTTTCATCAGGTTTGAAATATTACTGCTGTTGTGTCATTTTTTCGCGGTTTATTACCATGATTCTGATGAGAGGGGGCTGGATAAGTTAGTTTACCCAGGGTTGATTTGGGACACGCAAATTCTGAATCATATATTTTAAATGAACACTGTTTCCTTGCTTTTTAATAGACAGTGTAGATCGCTTTCTTTGCGTTATATCGGCACAAAGCTTCTAAACTGGTTATTCTCGTTTGTAGGATGTTCTTTTGAAAGACTGGCAGTCTGGTTAATCGGTCTTTCTGTTGATACATAAGAACGTCGAGATAAAACAACTGGCTTTCCTGCTCTCTTTCCTTGATAAATTTAATCTCAGAGTGAAAATAATTCAGAATAAAAATAAAATCTTTGGACAGTTTTAGGGTTGTGAGAATGATCGTGGCAGTATTCAGAAGACTAGTTGACGAGCATACGTTTGCTTTCGATAAATTCTCGTCAGACCAGTGCATTTATATGGGAAGGGGGCCAATTAAAACATGTCAGTGATTAGAAAACTCGACTGAAATTTTTCTTACAACGCAGATTGGCTGTGGGATTTGCGCGTATACTCCTTCACTTGCTCCTATGAAGCAGGTCATACCGTTCGCACGAGCCGACGCCTATCCAAAAGATTACGAAAATACCTGCCGGCATTGCTGGGAAAAGGCGAAAACAGGAGCATAAACAGCACTATTTTTGCACATGTTGTTGATTCGGGGCATCCTATGGACCCCAGCGAAACTTTCCGCGTGACTCATGAGGTGTCATCGAAATTCTCTAAGTTACGGGGCCAGCGTCTACTAGCAACAACAAAAGCAGTTGCTATCATGTTACGAAAGGCGGTTGTGGGCGTGCAGAGGAACCTTGTCCAGGCTCCGAGCTTACCGTAGTAAAAAGTCGACTAACTGCATGCATTTTCACGCGCCCTTCCGCTCTCATTCCGTCCCTAGCTTAATTCTTATTACCCCCGCCCCTCCCTTCTTTTCCTACACTCTGCCTGTGCTTTGAGACCCACTTTAATCGACTTCATATTGACCCAACTGTGAAGAACTCGGCGCCTCGGTGGGATTCGAGCCCACACAGTAAGGGGAAGGCTTTACTACAGCCAACGCTCTAACCGCTTGGGCCAGGAGTCCCCGCCGGACGACGCGAGTTTAATCACATTTGGGTCAAGTTACCCGCCCAACCTACTCCAACGTCTGGAATCCACCAAATCTGATACAGTAAGTTGACTGCCCAAGCAGGATTTCCTAAGTAATTCACCTAGAATCCACCAGATGACACCAGGCTCACGCAATTCATAGATGTTTTGGCAGATTTTAAATAATTCATATTGACCCAACTGTGAAAAACTCGGCGCCTCGGTGGGATTCGAACCCACACAGTAAGGGGAAGGCTTTAGTACAGCCAACGCGCTAACCACTTGAGCTACGAAGCCCCGCAGTTGGGTCAATATGAATCATTCAAAATCTGCCGAAACATCCATGAATTTAATCGATTTCTTTAATCGCTGACACGTTTACTTGACCCTGTTCCCAAATAAATGTATCGGCCTGACGAGAAATTATCGAAAACAAGCGAATGGTGACCAACTAGTTTTCTAAATTACAAAATCAGTTGCTTTTCCGTTATTAATAACAATCGCAATTGCACCATCTATATCCCCGCTGCAAAGTATTGTCTGGTCCAATTCTGATGACTCTTTTCTTCACCATGAGTAGCGAGAATGTCGGCACTTAATTGGATCAAGTGAATTTTTCATTGCTGTTTTATCGATTTGGCTTTATGGGTGTTCGGTAAACGGGGGCGTAATATGTTTAGTTCATTGCTTCGGCAGTTTATGGGGTATTTCAGACGACAGACATTTTTCAGTCACACGAGCGCACATGCCGCCTATCGTCCCATTTGTAAACATCGATTCTGCGCCCATAGAGATCATAAATTTGCCAGAAATGCTACGGCACCTAATTTCCTCAATAGAGAGAAAGATATGTTTTAGTGTGTGATGTAGCAATAACTTCTACTGCATAATACTTGTTTTAACTTTTTCATTAAAAAAGTTCTCGAAAAAGCTGCTTTCCCTGTCTTATATCGCAGTTACCCATTTTCTTATTTCTGTTTTCGTAACTATCTGAATATGTTTAGGAATGCGCGTTTTACACTAACCAAGTCATTTTTATTTTATTTTTGGACATATTATTCGACCTCAGAAAGCGGCTACCCCAGGGGTGAGCCAACTTCTTCTAACCCTAAACCTCGTGCAGCGAAAGTGCGCTATGACAAAAAAAGCAAAAAAACGACGGAAAGTTGTATGCTTCACGAAATGATATTTACAAGTCTCGCTTTATGTCGTCGGAATTCGAATTGATGTCTAAACCGGTGGCCATTTCAAAAAAGGCATCTTTTGCACTTGTAATGGCCGAAATTGTGAAACCGGTAATAAAAAGCCCGCATATATCCTCAGCATGTGACCAAATGCGACACCGTAAAACGAACTCCCTAATAATGACAGCGAAATTCTATTGTCTCTGATGGTGGGCCACAGTGTTTTTCTCAAGCCAGGCAACTCATGGTAGGCTATTCGTGCAGCTATTCTGTGCTTTGTATTCAGTGTCAAGTGACTTTTTCAAGGTCACGAGGCGCATTTACTGCCGGCCACCTGAGAATTACTTCCGGGGCTATGGCAGCTGGGAGCTTGAAATAAAGGCAGGCAATTGACCCAATTCATATCGTAAGCTGTTCTTAGGCCATCTGAGTCGATGCTCTCGAATAATTCATGTGAACTTTAAAGGCCAACACTACGGCGAACCATCCCGCTGATGAGGATTGATGTTTACTGCACGTTGAAAACTGATCGAAGTCAGTGGCTGCCGATTGCATAAAACTCCCTCTCCTCCTTTGCCCGCACAACCGATCGTCCACTTAACGGTGGATTTGAAGGACATTAGCGAGAGAACGAAACTTTACACAGGAAAGAGTCAATCACGAGGGACCGCGAGATTTCGAATTGGACTCCGGTTGATGGGTGATCCACTTGTTAACCCCACTGTTTGTTTTTCCAAAAGTACGAGTTACTGTGCGCCCAATCGAAAGATGCGGCAAAGCCAACAAGACGGATTCTAATCAACCGCTCACAATATAGGGAATGTAACGCAACGGGTCTAAACAACAGTATTCTGATGAATGCTCCTCTTTCCCATTAGAAAAGCAGCCTGACTTTGTCGCATTCTGGGTCACCTAACCATTCAAAAACTTTTAATCACAGCGCAAATAAAGAACGAACTAAAAATCTAGGTTAAGTTCATGCTTTAGACACCACCGCCATGTCTGTCATCCTCTTTTTGCTCTAGGAGGGCCATATCCCAATTTTGGGAAGGTAGCAAGAAGTTGTCCCACGCAGCCAATAACATAGTTGGCTACTACCGGTCTTGTGCACGGTAGTCCTCAACCGTCTGTGTCTCCTGGCATTTTAATTATTATTCGACAACTACGTTACAGTCTTCCTCAGCAGCCTGAATATCTGAAATCTAGTTTTTTGCTGAAGGTCCATCCAATATCTGTATTCAGGGGACTTGCCTGGTAGTCTGTAGCTATCCTCGCAGAGAGACCGCGCTTTCCCCCGTTTCCTGGCCGTTCTGGTTATTTCTAAGGGACGATTTTCGTCCTATCCTGTCGCCACACCGGATTTAGCTGAACTGTACACCACCCATGTCATGCCATTTTACTCTATGGCGTTTATTCCCTGACCTTGACTGCATGTGTTTTGGATCTCTCAAGTCCTCAGTCATCACAGGCATTCTGGAAACAAGTAAACCACTGTGAGAACGGGCCTCTTTGTGGGGCATAATTGGTGCCAGGCGGATTACTACAGATGTTTGAGCATTCTAAAGGTCTTTCTGTTTCCATTATTGACTTTCAGAATGGACGACACTCGCAGACTGTTTCTGCCAAACCGAAGCACCCTACCAATCAATCCCACAGCGGAGGAAAAGGCACAACAGCTCCTATATCAAAAATATCTGAAAATTCGCTCCATCGTCTTCCCCACAGTAACGATCTGTCTTCTGATCCTGGGACTTTTCCTCGTTTGCTACTTCTTTCACACAAACACGTGAGTTTTTCGCAGCGTACCTTTTTTTCCTTTTTCAACATGATTCCCCGTTGAGCCTTTCACGAGTGTCGATCGCGGAAATTTCATGTGACCAGAGACCCAGTAAACCCTAGTAGTTTTACACGTCATATAGCGCGGACTCGATTTAAAAAAACATGTTGGTAGCGATGCCGATGAGGAACGCTCATGACTGAGTGGCAAACGGTGATATCTAGCATCCAAAGTTGAATCCATGTCACTCGGGCAGATTTGTGATCCGAGTTGTCCTGAAAAAAAACTTGATACACGTTGTGACGGCCAGGTCTTGTGTGGCACGCTTCGACGTCCGTCTAGCTTTGTCAGTTATTCCGTCCAAACCCACCTCCGGTAGCCTAGACTCCGCCTTGCCACCAGAACCCAGTGAGAGACGGAATGGACTGTGTGGTTGTTGCTGTGCAAGTCTGCCTCGCCAGTCATCACGCGGCGTCCACTTTTTGGACACACCGTGAACGCTGTCGAATCGAGCTGTCGTTCGGTAGGAGAATGCTTCGCTCAACATCAGACCCATCGGCGAGCCCCTGCAGCTGAGCTCTTCAGCAGGTCCTTTTTTCGGAGTGCCTGTTCTTTTTCACTAGTCCCAAAAAACATAATTCCAGACTAGCGGGTTGTATGGCAATTGTAACAAAGGAGCCCACGAACTGTCTGCTGAAAATACGAATCTGCTCGCCACAAGTTCCCAGTTTTGCGCAAAAAGCCTGCCACGTTTTAAATGGGTAGTGGATAATTTCTGTTCGGTTGTCTTTTCTGATCAGTTTAATTCACACATTTGTCGATGTGTGACGAGGCTTTTGTTATTTCTCACATTTGCGCCGAGGGAAGAGAGTGCACCTGTTATATTTTTTGTAATTCTCATTAAGGTCAGATGCTTGAATGATACGCTGATGCTAAGGCCTAGAGTGAGCAAAACATCTTCAGCTGAAACCTCGGGATAGTTAGGCCGGTTAGAACTTAACGTGAGGAAACAATCCTCACAGTTCGAAGTTACAGCCAAAAAATTCCACTCTTCACGAACCAGATGTTTGACTTTCATTTGTAGATTTCAGTTTCTTGAAACGCCAAAAATCTGGTCGAAAATCGAATTATCACATTCATGGTGCTCTGTCCATCGAGTCAGTACTAACTGAACACGGAGAAGTAAAATTAAATGCGGTAACTCAGTGATGCCGAGACTTAGATGACGGTGTGGTTGCTAACGAGTCATGATAGAGACCAATCAAACTTCGACAGCAAGCACAGGACCAGAACCCTTGCAGGCGGTTACAGGGGGCCGAAAGCAAAGCAGCCGAAAATTTTGTAATTACGCGGATATTCGAGCGCCAGCAAAGCCCCTATTCTGAAAGTGAAAGTCCTTTGTTCATTTGTGACCACGGAAATATTCTTCGTGTCTCAGCCGCCAGAGGCGAAAGACCCAGCGTCAGTAAGTTGGAGAGGGGACAAATACGGATAGATGAGTTTTATTCTGTGGAGCACTGTCAAAACACAATCGCTGTCCGCCAACCCGCCCACTGACCCACTTATGTAGTGGAGTTGATCCGCGATGGGGCACACAACTATTTCTGTTCCTTAAATTTGGCCCATAGACGTAGTTAACCTGATTCATCGGTGACCCTATTTACTTGGATTCGTGTGTTTTAAATACGGTAGTACAGTAGGTGGGCTAACTCATAAAATGTCAACCAAAATTCCGAAATGCGTTTTCGTTTCGAAAAGATTAGCTAAGAAGAGTTGTAAAACTAATCAATCCGCAGTATAATTCTATAATAATTCAGTTACTCCAGGATGCTGGCTTTCGAATGAATTTCCTTCCGGCTGCATACAAAAACTACACTGTAAAACGACTACTTAAGTAGCATGCATTTTTCTCATTGATTTTCGATGCTCCTAAAAGTTCAATTATCTTTCATGAAAAACATGCATGAAAATTGCATTCTTCCGCTCATTCGGTAACAAACTACGTCTTCTTTCAATTTTATACTCGAAAGATGGACATAGTTCACTTTAAAAAGTTTTTAATTGTGGGACTTTTAAATACCGTGAAATGGCCGTTCATAAATCGCCATGTCTCTGCATCTACCAATGATGCTTGTGAAGTTAACAATATCGATCAAATCCAATGCCAAATTTTATGAAGCCTATATGGTTTCCCTTTATTTCCGTAGAGAACTATATAGGTTTCCGTACGCGAAGAATATACGGCTTGTAGTTTGGAAATCCTGAATCCAAGCGTAGTGGTGGAGCGGGTTCAAAATTATTCGGGAATTGGGAAAGTTTTTTAAAACCGAATTATACCCTTTCTTCGAGTATAAGGTTGGAAGAAGACGTAATTGTCTACCAAATGAGCAAAAGGTTGAATATTTTTATGCATGTTTTTCATGAAAGCTAATTGGACATTTTGGAGCATCGAAAATAAATGAGAAAAATTCATGCTACTTAAGTAGTCGTTTTACAGTGTAGTTTTTGTATGCAGCCGGGAGGAAATTCATTCGAAAGCCAGCATCCTGAAGTAACTAAATTATTATAGAATTCTACTGCAGGCTAATTAGTTTTACAACCCTACTTAGCTAATCTTTTCGAAACGGAAACGCATTTTGGAATTTCGATTGACATTTCATAAGTTAGCCCACCTACTGTACTCCGAAAAAACGTGCTTTTGAATTTTCGGGTTCAAGCATTTGTGCATTTTCCCCTGGAAACTAGCACTTAAAATTCGCTAAGCATGCAGTGTATCATAGAATATGCCCTCACGTTAGTTAAGCGTCTCAAAGAAGGCGCGGACGGGCACAAGGCGGTGGACAGTAGACGTACATGTACGTGCAGTATGTACGGAGCATGAGAACGTAACCCTCGCGAATTTTTTGGGTATTACTGTACGGTTAAATGTGGGTGGTGTAAACGGATCTGCCCTAATTACGAAATAAATATAAAGTTCCCCGTTCTCTTGGTGCTTATGGGTTTATAACCGTTACCGGCGGTTACGTGGAGACCAGCCACCGATCGCTGAGAGGTGTAACCAATAGGGGCTAAGGACAGTGGAATAGCAATTTCTAGTTCATTTGTCGTTATCAGTCAGTAACAGGCCGATCCCAGGTGACAATTTTGAACGCGGGCCAATTTTTTGTCGGTCATTCTTACCGCAAATCCTCTACCACTAGGACTACGGTTCCACGTGTTGTCGAAAAGCATTAGAAATCACTTATATGGGCATCCCTGACTGTTGACTGCTACTGTTGACTGTTTTTGTTGCATTGCTGATAACACTTGGGTTTTCAAGTATGATCTGCGTCTTTCTTAAAACGTTCAAACCACATTCTTAGTATTTTCTCCCGTTTTCTTGATGGGTCTTTCTGTTTCTCGTTGCCTGCCGGCGTACCTACTGCATATTTTGTGAGCTGTAGTAACAGATTTTATGGTATTTCATTGTCTGCTATCGTAGACTATGCGCTTCAATACAATCGCGTCTCGAGAGCGCCCGCATTTCAAAACTTTCCGGAAACCTAAAACACTCTCCTATTTCTGAGTGCGGAATTTAAATAGAACAGTTTTCTCTAAAAATAGTGTAGTGTGCAGCCTTGCCGTGACATATGACCTCATTTACGTAGGCATAAAAATCTGCTGTAAGGGCATGCATGCTGATTATTTATGATCTTTTTCGTGAGTATTTTTAAAGGTAATTGGATAGACGCTCAGTCAAGGGTGAATAGATCGACATAGTGTCATTCTCCATGCTAGGCCGTCTGGGTAATATTACGGTGCATACTGAATGCGCTAGAGCATTCCTACAAAGCTGCAAACGCCCCGTCGCAGGCACGTTATCGCTAAAAGATCACGCAGGCCCTTATTGCCCACACACGTCAGGAAATGAACTCGTCTCACGCCTCCCGTTGATTGGTCGATCGGTCAAAGTGACTGTCACGGGCTTTTAGTCCACACAGACTGCCCCTTGTAGCATGGCATGGCCTCAATAACCTGTGCTCTGAAACTCAATATAGACTTCTTTGGAGTTGCGAAAATTCCCATGTAACAATTCAGGAAACCATTTGGCGAGCATACACGTGACCGGTCTCTCTAACTTTTGACTTTTTGTGATTAGTAATCGGCGTTTACCCCAAATACAAACTCCGGACAATCGAGACTCACAAACCTGCAATCCTCCATCCGCATGATAGTTGCAGGGTTTTTTTTATCCTTGAAAATTATTCTGAACGTAAGTCCACTGTGGTTGTGTGTTCAAGACACAGTGCGTGATCGATCTCATGAAATGTTGGCCGAACTTCTGGAATGCCTTTCCGAGTAGGAAGGATTACTTAAGTGGGGTTGCTATACTGATTATCATGCAGCATAACCCTATAACATTTCGGACTCACCAGGATGTCGGCTTTTGAATGCACTTCTTTTTGACCTTCTACAGAAACCACGCTCGGTAAAAAAATGACCACTTAATTAGTATGCATTTTTCCTACTGATTTTCGATGGTCTTATGAATTCAAATATATTTTATAGAGATATGTATAAAAAATATGCTTTCTGTTGCTCAGTTGGTAAGACATCACATTGTCTTCATATTTTTTGCCCGAAGAGAGTGTGTATTTAGATTTTAAAAAGGTTTGTTGATTCCCGAATAATTTTCAGCCTGATCTGCCATTGCATCAGCGTTTAGCAATTTCATTCTACAAGGTGCATGCTGTCCGTATAAGGAAAATCATATATTCCTCTGGGTCTTTAAGAAAATACCACATAGAGTTCATAAAATTTTGCAATGGATCCGGACTGTGTTGCACATTTCATGAGGAGCATTAATAAACGGACATTTGCGGTCTTGCATGCATGGACATCGCACGGTCTTAAAAATCTCATAATAAAAATTTTTTGAAAACCAAAATACGCACTCTCTTCGGTCATAAACTATGAAAACATTGTGATTTCCTACCAAATGAGCAAAAGAAAGCCTATTTTTATACATGTCTCTATAAAATATATTTGAATTTATAAGACCATCGAAAATCAGTAGGAAAAATGCATGCTAATTAAGTGGTCATTTTTTACCGGGTGTGGCTTCTGTAGGAGGTCGAAAAGAAGTACATTCAAAAGCGGACATCCTAGCGAGTCCGAAATGTTATAGGGTTATGCTGCATGATAATCAGTATAACAGCCCCACTTAAGCAAGTCTTCCAAATCGGAAACGCATTCTAGAATTTTGGCTAACATTTCATGATATCGGTCACGCACTGTACTTCTTTGGCCCACCTCTGTCTTACCACATATGATGCTAAATATGGAGGGAAACTCGATCAACGTTGTTGTAAATGTCCTTTTAATCTGTATACATTTGATAAATTCTCTGCAACCTGGCCTCTTCTCTTTTAGATCCGTTGTTGCTTTCGGAGTCATACTGACAACCGTGGGTTTCATGTGTCTAATCATATCGCTCGTAATGCTCCCCACCTTCATCCGTGTCATGTACAGTCACTCTAGCACAGTCTACATGCCAAAGTCTGCGGAGGCCCTGAAACATGTATGTCCGCCGAATTTGCTTTCACAAATTTTACAAATTGCAGCTCCTTTGGGCTGTGTCCCCTGTTTTGGGATTCTCTGCCTTGAGTCCTATGTAATGTCAGCAAGCCGATTTTATTTTCCGTGGAATCAAGTATCTGTTAGTAATAAAGTCTCCCCTTCAGTTATCAAGTGGTTGGCAAATCCTAAATGTCCGGAGCGCTTTCGGTGACCGATAGCTAGACGGTTGGCGACCGCGTGTGCGGGCTGCAGACTTCGTATCACTGGCCCATGAACTCGGAGCCTAAGGTTGGAACAGAAATCTACGGCTTCACTAACAATAATAATTTTGGGAATTCTTGTGTGCGAAAATGTTTGCAGGATCTAGTTTATCAGAACTCTACTCGAGGCTGCACTATTTACTGCTTCACCTACTATTTTCACCACCATCGCAAAACGCATAGTCATCCCAGGTGATCTGCTAAACGTGACTCCAGGGAGGGGTTCACAATGACTCTGACAAATGATTAACAGACCATTTCCATGGTTCACCGTTAGCGGCGGCTACTTCGAAGTCACTGGGAAAACACACCGTCCCGCCCCCCCCCTCCCCCTCCTACAGTGCATGACCGATCTCATGAAATGTTGGCCGAAATTCTAAAATGTGTTTTCGATTAGGAAGACTCACTTAAGTGGGGGTGTAATACTGATTAGCATGCAGCATAATCCTACAGCATTTTGGACTCATCAGGATGTCGGCTTTTGGATGAACTCCTTGTTGATCTCCTGCAGAAACCGCGCTCTGCAAAAAATAACTACATAAGTAGCATACATTTTTCACACTGATTTTCGATGGTCATATAAATTCAAGTATATTTATAAAAAGCATGAACAAAATTCGCCTTTTTTCACTCGTTTAATAGAGAATCACGTCATCTTCATATTCTATACCTGAAGAAAGTGTATATTTAGGTTTTAAAAAAATTTTCCAATTTCCGAATAATTTTGAGCCAGATCTGCCGTTGCATTAGCAGTTAGCGATTTCAGTTTACACGGTGCATGCTTTCCGCGTAAGGAAAATCATATATTCCTCTTTGTCTTTAAGAAGATACCGCATAGAGTTCATAAAAGTTTGCAATGGATCCGGAATGTGTATTTCATGAGAGACCTTGGTAAACGGACATGTGCGATGTCCATTTGGAATTCTGTCGAGGCAGCCCATCACGTATTCCCACAGCATGAATCGAACTCATGAGACCATAAGCGTGATTTTGGCGTAACAGCAGTGATTGACGCGCAACGTAATCAGTCATCAACACATACCCGGTAACATGTTGGCTTTCCGATGGACAAATTTCCAAATAACTGCGTAACTAGCATGCTATGCAATTATTACTTAGGTGTTTTTGACTTTTTTGGTCGTATTCCCTAGTAAAGACGCACAAAAATAGTTTTTTAGTACTTATTTTATACGAAAAAACACCTTTATATTCGGTGTACGGAGTTGTGTCTGTTTCAATAATTCTCGGGATCATGGAACTTGAAGGGTTATCCGTCCAGCCATCCACCGTCCCTTACGAGGACATCCCCTCGTGGAAGACACCCGGAAGCACATTCACGCCCTAATCTCCATCCTTTCGGTTTATCGCTGTTGGAACTCAAATTCGACAACGGTCTACTAACTTTCATAGTTAACATGTTCACAGTTCTGGGCTCAAATTCACCTTGTTGGACTTGTTTTTCAGTCCTCAAGCTTTAGACCGGTTCTAGGCGTCCCTACATCTCTTTTCGGCACTGATGGCGATAGACATCTCACAGTACCTTCATGTCTTCTTCAGGTGCCTTATCCGCGCCAGCCAATGAGGAAAAAGTCAGTCGCTCCGAGGCCACCATCACCTTCAGCAGCCAGAACGAGTACGGGGTTGCCACCGCAACCGCCATACCCTTACACGCACCCCCTCGAACCTACAGCCCCCTATCCGCCAACCGACTTCCATCCTGCCATTCCACAGAAACCTCCCAGCTACGCAGATGTGGTAGAAAACTACGCCTAATCGCAGATCGACCCGAATCTGTAAACACTCCCGACCACACGTCGATTCCAACATGCTTTATCTACGTGAACGTGGTCGAGTTATTCTACATGAAAATATGGTGCTTGCAAGTGGCAGACTAACGATCCAACGTTGAAACGCAGGTTGGCCTACGCTGGATAATTTGACAAGGACCAAACTTTCATATACCAAATAGTCGGTACGATGACCTAACCTTGAGGTTCACAGTGTCACAGAAAACTGCCCTTCTGTGACAGGTATAGTTTCCTACCTACTAATGCCATGAGAAGAAATGGGGAATAAATAGACTAGCTCTAGCGAAACAGCACATAGGCAGTTGTCGTGCGGCCGGTGAAGTCAGTAATGACAAGGGGTACTATGTATTACGATGTAGAAATGGGGACAAACGAAGAGAACATGCAAACGGGGACTTCAAAGGCTGGGTTCAAGTCTGAGAAGACCCCCTTCACCTCATAATGCGCCTCTGCAACAACGCAGAGGCACTGTGTCGTGAAGAAGGAGACACGATCGCTAAGACAAGAGCTTTATTCACATGACGTTTCGGATTCCTACTCGAGCCCATCATCAGAAACAATAGAAGATAGTAGAAGCATTGTGCCAGTTTATTGAGTATAGACAGGCTGCTGAACGCCATCAATATTTCTTTTAAATAACCAAATACTACTCATGCACCAAAAATACGCATCAAATGCAGTTGGAAGCGAGCATCACATTTGGCGTGACTACAGCGACCAAACTCCCCCTGCCCACTAACTGCATGCGCGCGCGTGACATTCGCCGACACCATGATACCGACCTACATTTGGGCCTTCAATGATTGGTCACAGCTTGGGCGTAGGCTCACAACTCACACTGGACAACACAGCATTAAGGGCTAGCCCCTCACTCTTGAAAAATTGCTGTTGCTACCTTCTGAGCCGTTTGTACATTCCCGGCCGCAGTAAGGATGGTCCTACCAAATCCGTCCCCCTTACTTTTTATCTGGGAGACTTCTCGGTGTCGACAAGAGGTAAATGCAGCGTAAACCCGCCCCGCGGACGGCATAGAGCTTCGCGGTGACAGCATGAGGCAGAACCTGACAATCCCCGACAGATAACCCGTCGTTGTTGCATACGCGCGAGCATGCGTAGGACAGAGGCGATGTTAGAGCAGAAGTGGGGAGTAGGGCCAATACACACTCGCCAGTACAGTAGAAGCCTGCAAACGTTTGTCTTCTATCAAAAGGCGATTACGTCGTTAACATGACGAATGGGAGAGTCCCAAGGACTGACCAGTTATGCGTCGGCGCCAACTACAGTAACCGGATGCTCCTTTCACTGCGTCCAACTTCTATCTAACTTAGCATAAAATCATTACTTACGTGTGATGTGCCCGCTAGTTTTTGATGCCAGTATAGGGTCGTTCTGTGTTATTGAACATACTTGCTTTCCTCTTTTATGGAAAATTACGTCCTCCTAGGACGTAGGTTTTCCGCTGTAACGTCGGTACTTGCTGGAAGTACGTCTCCTACAACTTCCGTACTCGAATAGAATACTAGTTCCCGTTTATTTTCAAATGTAAACTGAGTTTCTACCTGCTGGTATGGTTTATAAAGTACATGTTACTCCGAAGCCAATTCCCAGTAGCTATGCCTAACCTACGAAGAGGCCCCCTTATGCCCATATAATAAGTCACGGATTATGCTGTATGCCCGCTGGCAATGATAGTAAACTCTAAAATACTAAGCTGCATAAGTATGTGTGAGTCTAGTGAATCATCACAAGAGGGAACGGCATGTGTACGGTTTACGGCCTGGGTTACTCCGGGGAGCATTTGTGTCGATCAAGAGCTGAACATTAAGAATTTTGTGGTACCACAAATTTTGATCCTCGATGGTGTCATAAGTTCAAAGGGGAGACTATTTTTACTATTAAATGGTAATAGTAAACGGATTTAACGCTCCATTGCAGGTATTGTCAAAGAAGTATTGTACCGTCGTACTTCTAGTTCGATGACTACCTTAAGGCACTTTAACCACCCTCACGAAGTGGCTACCGCGGTCTGGCACGTACAAATAAATATCACTAGTTATTTTCTTTTAGTACAATCTCTCGCCCGGAGTAAGTAATCCCGGCGATAGACCATACACTTGCTGAACGAGATTTTTAAAGCAGAAGCGCGCCATTTCCGAAGGGGTGTGGTCGTTGACCGATCCAATTATGGTATAGAACATACTCGTCCCCTTGAGCACTGGACCTCAATTTAGAGCCACCTACATATCCACATAAGATAGCTCAGAAAAATAAACATTATGGAGGCCACCAAAGGAGGTGCGTGAAAATCCATGAATGGCAAAAGCAGTAACGAATTCTACCATTAAGCGGACTAGGCGATTTGCATTGAGTGACCGTAAGACTCTGTTTTGGAAGCAAACTGAAATGAAGGCCTAGAGGAGATATCTTTTATTTGTAACTAGTATGAAATTTCGGCGAGGAAATCTCGAACACGGGTAAGAGCACACCTTTCACTCGGGAGTATGCGGGTCGTTGTCACCTCGACTGTCAAAACTGATAAACATTGAATCCCGAGGAACACCCGTCCCGAGCTGAAGTCATCGCAGGCAGTCGCATGGCGCCCAGTAATCCCGTGGGAGTGCCGATAGGGATGAGGGAGTTTGGGGCGGTCATTTCAGGGGCGTTAGTTATCGTCAGTTGACCAATCCTCAAACCCAGGTTTGGATAGCCTGGAATTCTCGTCCAGGCTCTTTGGTCATTGCGCGTCAGATCTGACGCTCTGTCATTGTATACAAACCACCCATGCGAGCAAATCCTGCCGGACAGAAACTACTACCGTCCCCTGCTAAAAAAACCATAACTTCGGTTTGTCAATATCCCCTACCGATTATGAAACATTCGAAAACGAAAACAGGTCAACCGCCGGGTAATACGGTACTCGAACACGGACACTCGTGGTTGAACGCTAAGTAAGACGCTCCGTCATCGAGCCAATCACCGGTCTTCCTGTCGGTTGCCATCGAAAATTTCAAGTTAGACTCCAGGAGGACGTAATTTCTACCAAATGAGCGTGTGGAGTGATTTCTTGTGCATCTTTCATACAGCACTTGGTTTAGTTTTGTAAGCATCGAAAATAAATAGAACAGACACACCACACAAGAAGTATGCTGCCCGCTAGGTGGCTTTGCAAGCTCATGAGAGTCTATCGACGACTTTTGGTAGACACTAAGAACTCTGGAACGTACTAGATACAAATACCGCTTGCTGCCCAAAAGGTAGAATGTATGCACAGAAGTGGTCTTGGCCTCCTTCAACATTCAGGATTCTTCCGGAAAATGTTTACGGTGAATATCCCTTATAATCCAGAAAAAAAGTCTTTGTGTGCCTTATCTCTTCTGAAGGTGCGAGAAAATAACAAAGCGAAAAAAATAACATGTAAGTCCTGGCAGACAAAAAGAACATAGTAAAGGTAGTGCATGAGAGAATGTGGGGAAGGCAGAAACATGTAACCAGGCAGACGTGGACGGGCGAGGGGCGGGGGGGTTCGATCTGGGAGGGAAAGAAAGTCAGCGGGAAAGAAGCCTCTAGTAGTCCTTCTCGTTAACCTCTTCGTAGGGCGGTGGAGCGTAATCAGGCGGCGGTTCCGGGGGCGAAACGAGGGTGGGGGTGGCACTCGCAGGTTGCGGTGGCGCAGTAGGCTCTGGTATCGTCACAGGTTCGGCTGCCGGGCGAGGAGGCAAGACGGGCCTGTTCTGGTGTCTGGGCTGTCTGGGGTAGGGATACTGGGAACATGGGACAGCGAAAAAAAGGGACTGACCATTACGGGAGGCCTTGTGGGCACACTTTGGAAGGAAGACCTACCAGCCAGGTCTGATTAATAGGGTGCTGAGAAGGACTGTCATTAAATGTGACGTCTACAGACGCGGTAGTTTAGATCAAGACACTGTAATATAGCAGATATTGTCTACAAACGGAGCTTCGCCTACAACGTACTTTGTTGCCTAGTGTCAGGCCAAAGGCTAGGCAGAATCAGAAGACGCCACCAAACATAAACTGCGATGTTGCGGTCGTTGAGTCTGCAGCGTTGGTGTCGCAACCAACACGCCAAGTATGATGCATAGGAAGTATCCTTCTAGGACGACAAGAGATTTGTGCTCCTCTCCCCCCGGAAAGGGAGCGCTCGGGACAACACGTCTGCCGCGACCAGTAGTTTGCCAATCAAGCATGGCGATGACTTACGCATGAGATGGATTAAAGTGAAGGAGACTTAGGACATCAACCTCAGTCCCCTTCTGAGGAAAATGAAGTGCTCTACCGACTGAGTTAGCCGGATCGAGGGACTTGCATGGCTGACGCTTCGAAGAGTTTGGGCGGTTCTCCATTATCAAAGCGTCTAGTGCAAAAATTGATCAGAATTTTGAATAGACAGTCGGACTAGTTGGCCTTGGGCTGATCGATTTTTTTCTTCTTTCGCTGCTTTGGCCTACTGGCCGTCGCCTGCGAGTGTTGGTGGCCTCCTGTATTGTACGTCATCACCTCAGTTGGGGTTGGTTGCGTTTGCGTCCCCCTTTGGGTGAATTGGTCGACAGGTCGTGTTTGCTCGGTAATCTTAGGCTCCGTATGACTGTCTTGTCTTCGTCACGGCGTATGTAGTGACGTAGGACTATATAGGCCGAAGGAAGGTCCAGATGCCCCCTTCACAATGCAAGAACAGATGCACGATGGCAGACTGATTATGATCACACACACGCGTGTCGACAAACGGCTGGTCTCTCGCACACAAATACACCCGACATCCTCAGCCGGTTTCGGTTATCAGTCCACGCAACTACTGGAGAGCGGCTCCCCTGCACGATATAGATTTTTGCACCTAAGAATGTGAGTTGGTCGTCATGTTAGTTCAGTGTGTGGAATACGGCACCGTGCCGCGAGGTAGCTGGGGCGACTGTCAAGTTATCAGAACGAACATCATTTCCGAGGCACACCATGGACCTGAGGTCCAAGCTCACTGAAAGCGTGCGCCACCTTAAACCAGGGTATCGGCAATACGTACTTATTGGAGGCCTGATTTAACAAGCTGCGAGGTTCTGAAACTAGATACAATCTTGTCGGATGCACCGCTGACGGCAACGATGCCGACGATTACACCAATGGTAAGGGTCTAAGTGCGAGGTCCGCCAGGTAGCGCTGGATCTGGCTCGCATACTAAGCAATTACGTTAAGATAGGAAGAAAATGAGAAAGCCAGAACGACAGGGCCCTACCTTTACTAGGGCCTCAGCGGTCTTTGGGTAGAAGGCCACAGAGTCTGATGTGGATCGCAGAAGTCGGAAAAAGTTGTGCCCGGAAATGGTTCCAGCCAGCGTGCTGACAATGCCCAAACTGATGAGAACGGCTCCGAAAATCATTAGACCCCTTGAAAAGAAGGAGAAATTCTTAACTTTAGTTCACCAGGCTGCCTTATAAAGCCAAACATTAAAAAACCCGGTAGGTTGACAAAAAGGAAGTTCACATCAACTGGGCGGGATGGAAAATATCATCGCGGGTAAAAGACTGGCACGACCCAAAGAGCGGTCCATCAGGCCAGCGTTCATAGAGAGCGTGGATGGATACGCCGTCCCGCCTTCCCATCAAACTGCAGTTAAAACCGAACCAAGCTCCCCAGACGTCTTAGAGACAGATAATCACTTAAGTAGGGCACAATACAAGCAACCGGGCGCAGCTGTTATTCTGGTGAGAGAGAGGGGGTCACAGCAGGCGAGGTCTGCCACGAAAATTCAAAGACTTCCATTGTTCGTGGTAAGGGATGTCAGTTACATGCGAGCAACGTAACTCATAAAACATGACCGAACTGCAGAAGACCAGTCCGAGGTGCCTCAAGCGTCGTGTATTTTCCTTGTTTGTTGAACGTCTTCCACAGAACAGTCTTCTTATGCGAAATATGCCTCTAAGTTGTTGTATGGATGAAAACGTCCACAATTTTTGATACAAATTAACGTTACCCAATATTCAGACAATTTCCCATGATAATTCACATCGCGGACCCCAAACGTAGGCTTGGACATTTTTCTACAGTACAGAACAGAGATCTGGACGACGAAAATTTTCGAAATCAACTGCCACCAACTGTAAACTTGATTTCTCAGTTTGCGTAAATACCGTGAAGAAAAACGTGAACAATCAGGGTGCCTTCGGGAAGGAATAAGTTTTTCTTTACAAAGTTCGATTTGTAAAATTGCATAATTTGATGCCTTGAACAGCACTGCCTACGGGGAAACTTCTGTTTTAACATATGCAATCTCCGGGCATAGGCAAATATTCCATAAGAAGCTGCGAGTTGGCTCATCATTGAACGACTATTTTGAATTTTGAGTAAAATATAAAGTACTTTTTGTGTATCTCAACAGCGACTGAAATTCATTTCATGCAGGAGGGAGTGAAATTCCGAAGATCGTTTTCATTTATAAAGGATGCTTCGGAGGCTACTAGGTACATTCTCACAGAGCTCCGCCTGGATTTCACCCTGGCTCATGTAACCATCCAGAAAAAGCAAATCAGGCTGGACGGAGGATGCACTGTTTGACGTCTTATAAATAATTTTTCGCATCGGGTATACTTGCAGGCAGAGCAGGTAACTAGGAGAAACAGAGCAGTTACTTAAAACGGAGATGGCCCAAAAACATCCCCAGCGAGGCGGGAGGACGGTAATTCGTGAGTTAGGCATCACCCAGCAAGACAGAGCCTGAATTTGCATGATGACCGACGACCTCGTGGACAGTCACTTGAGTGTGGTTTTAAGGGTAATTATCGTGCAGCATAATCCCATTATATTTCAGTCGCGATAGGATGCCAGCTTTTGCATGGGTTTCCTTTCGGTTGCCTATAAAAACGACCATTTAATAGTCCATACTGATCCAACTGTGGAAAACTCGGCGCATCGGTGGGATTCGAACCCACGACAGCAAGGAGGAGACCAACACTCTAGCTACGAGACCCCACCGGGAGACGTGAGTTTAATCACATATGGCTCAAGTTACCCGCCCAATCCACCGCAACGTCTGGAATCCACCAAATCTGATACAGTAAGCTGCCCGCCCACCATATGACTACCAAGCTCACGCAACTAATAGATGTTTTGGCTCAAATTTATTTGATAGAAAACATGAACAAAAACACTCTTTCTTACATCCATTTGGTTACAGATAACTTCTACTTCAGATTTTATACTTTCAAGTTTAGAATGAAAAATGACATTGCTGACAGTCATCGCCTCGTTAATCTCGTCGGGCTTGGACAAAACAGGCAGGCAAATATAGTAGATTGACACAGTGGACATTGAAGTGGGTTTTGCTTACGTCACGTGGTTTTACAGGTGTGCTGAACATGTGAACAAAGAACTCACTGGATGGATTCGCGAAAAGCCACGACCAAGTAGATTCCAACTGCAAGAAAAATAACAGAGGTGACTGCAAAAACAATGAAAGCTGTTCGGAGATGGCGCGTGTAAACCTGTTTGGCGGCCTCCTCCTCTTTGGTTGCCTTTGTGGGCATGAGGGTCTGACCGCGGAATGTGATTTCGGTCCCCGACATAAGTTCTGCGACAGAGAAAAAAATTTAATCGAGGGCAGCTATGTATGGCATAAAAAATCTCAGTTGGGAGTGCAGAGTTGACAGCCGAAAATGTGCAGTGCAAGGGCGGTCTGTGGGTCATTACAAGCTCATTTTATGCCAAAGATCCGAGTGCTCGTCCCAGCTGCCTGGCTGAGAGAACGTGGGAATCTCTCGTCTCTGAAAGACGTTAGAGACGAAACTTAGTCGGAAACCAACATGACGTCTACCGAGCCTAGACTGTTCGACTTCAACAGACTGAAATAGTAAAGAGGATGCTTTCGATATGGAGCAAGCGAAGAGTGAACGGCAGCAGAGCTTCTCACAGTATTCTCGCGTTCACACATGAGTCTGTGGAATCGTAGACGAGCACCGAATGCCAAATTAAGAGCTGAGCGCCCCAGATTTTGGACAGCAATGGCCTAATTAGACGGGCGGCGTGACCTACCGCAGATGACTTAACTATTAATTCAAGCAACAGATAAGCCGAAGAACCATCAATCCGCCACCCACTGCGGTTACCTTCTGAGGACATGGTGACTGACCACGTCAGTAAGCTTCTACTGCCCTTATCACACTAACCGACGAGTAGGCGCGGCAAAATAACGAAACAAATGCAGAACAGGCCGACCAACTCAGACAGCTATGTTAAGTTCCGCTTGATTATTTTATGCATTTCCGCTCACGACAGTGGACAACGGTCCCAACTGTCAGGAACGTCTGACATCTAATACATCTGCCCAGATATCTCTCCTCTCTTTCAAGCTTGCTCCCATGGATTACTGCTTCCGCTGGCCTGAGAGTAGGAGTGGAAAACGCCGAGGGACTTTATGGTGCGGGTAGAGAACCGAAACGCAGTGTGCTCGTCGCGATGGAGCCCAGTTCTTAAATAAATTCGACTCCGGAGCGTGCCGATCACACTGATGTTTCTTTTTCCGAGACGAGCATGGGTTACCAGACAAATGCAACTGAGGTCAGACTATGGTACCATGCAGGAGTGCAGTTACCGCTGCGCGTAATCATCGATGTGCGGGCGACGTGCATTAGCTCTGGTGGTCCTACACACATACAATCACGATCCCATGGATGTAAGCGGAAAAGCGCACAAAGTGGCTACTCGCGGGACATTGTTTTGGTGTTTTTTCGGAGATAAAGTAGTCAGGCTCCAGTTAGTCGCTTCTCGGGACGAGTGCATAAAAACTGCGACGTGGGCGGCAGAACTCCACTGCTCCCGAATACATTGCCATGCCAACCCGAGCTGTCGTGTTTCTACAAAGCTTGTCATAAATTAGGTCAGGCAGATTCACGTCATTTTAGACTAGGAGTCAGAAAGGGAAGGTGGGGATAGATGTTGTTAGACATTGAGACTAATGGAAGCCCTGACACCTCCAGTACTGACATCCGGGGCTCATCCGGACATATGACACAACTGGCTGCCAACCGTCTCTAGTACTTGACAAAACCCTTTTCTTCGATATTCCAGTGTCAACTTGTTGAGGAGGGATGCCTGGAGTAGTCGGTTTTGTCCCTATCACACCACGCACGCCTTCAGGCCACCTTAATTCTGAAAACCTGTGCGCCTACCACCCCTTTAAGTCGCCCCAACACTTCCCAATGTTATGGTAACTAGTGTCGATTGAAGACATGCCAATAAGGGTTCGCGGGACATTCGCAAAGCAATTTGGGGGTTTACCTTTTCGAGGACGGTAACTGTTACCCTCTTAAACCAGTGATAGGCTTTGTGTCTAGTCCCCGTCACTACATTTGGGAAGAGGGGAAAAGATGATCGCGGGACAAGTGCCCTCGTAAAAGCAACAGAATTATCGGCACGATGCTATATAAGGGTAGGTACCTATTTTAAAGAACGGGTGATATGTAGGCCCTATCTGTGCTCCCTGGAGTATGTATGAAAGGGACGCATTTTGACCAGAAGAAAGAGAAGGCTCAGACAGAGACTTGAGGACTGCGTCAGAATAATTGCAGTTTGTTAACTGAACGTATAAATCGTTAGGACAGGATACTATGTGTTAGGCAGACCCAAAGTGCACCTTGAATCACAACGATCGGGCATCGGGAGGTCGATGTCAGTTAGTAGATTAAGAAACAAAGCCTACTATCCTCTTTTGAGTAGTATTTTAGTTAGTCCAGAAAAAGTCGTCGGAAGAAATAGAGGCGGGAATCGGCGGCGTTAGCTACGGTGGCTGCAAATAACGTGTGCAGTTGGCGTCAGCAAAACACAGAGAGCGTGAACAGAAGGGGTGAAAACACAGAAGCAGAGCACGCAAGATGCGCGTGTGAATGTAAGTGTATTTGAAAGGAGGCAGCTCTAGAACAGGCAACAGCAATTGCCACAGAAATGAAACGCCGGCAAACTAAGAGATAAAGTGCTCGGTCCTGTGAAACGAATTCTTTATGAGGTAGAAGGGAACTCGCGTAAAAAACCAAAGAAATATTCTACATCTGGCATATATACACACACATCAAGGTCTCTGAACTCGATCACAATTCTCAGAGCGTCCCAGAATTGCGTAGGGGTTGAGAATGCAAGGATGGGGATAGTGGCGGCGGAAACCTTTTTACCTCTAGTGGAAAATGGAACGAAAAAGCCAGCGCACAATCTTGTAGCCAACGTATAAGGAGATCGCGGCACCCATGACGACCTGTTGCTGTTCTAGCATTCGCATATGTGAGGAGAGGCGACTGACGTGTGCCTCAAGGCGGCTGATGCGGGCAATGGTATACTTCATAGCCTCGTCTTTGGGACCTTGAGCACGCATTGCTTGTGTGCGACTGGCATCCATGTTACCGCCTGGAGTAAAATTCACCGTCGCTGACGCCGAGGCGCTGGCTTCTGCTTTTGCCGTCAACGCTGGTAAACTAGAGAGCAAACAAAGCGACTAGGTGGCATGCTGCAAGAGGTTACTGAGGTAAAAAAAAAATGCATAAGCAAATAAAAGTGGAATTAAACACGACCGCAGGGAGAAGACTTAGGGACACCTAGAGGTGAACTAAAGGTTTAAAGGCGAATGTTTCAAATTTCCATCATCACTGACATTTTGAAGGTTAACTTCGAAGGAAAACACTTGTGGGTTCCTAGATAAGCGTGAAGTACGACGTAGCTGTTGCCCTGGAGGCTGTTGACTTGTTCTGGAGCAACATTTCCCAAAGGAGATGACCTCAATGACAGGGATATGTTTTAACAAAAATTACTGCAAAATAAGCGTTCCAAGATGCTTGTGAATACCAGCCATCAAATTCAACCAACGGACCGCTTTTTTCCTGGGTCATTAATACCCCACTTGGTATAACAATCAATCCAGGATTCACAGGAAGGGCAGATATGCGGGAATGTAACTATCGCAGCCGGTGGGTCATAAAGGTGTCGGGTCCGTGCATTTCGACTTTTCGGTGCGCAGAGGGCTGAACTCCCTACCCGCATGACCACTGTATTTGCCGTGGTCAAAATGCCTTGCCGCAGAAACTTTGTCGTGGTCCGACACCCGATTGAGTAGGCGGAACGCTTTCTCATTGCCCACCAAATGTCTAATGTCAACCGGCATTACTTGGATGTTCACTTTCCTCGTACTGACTCTCTCCTCCCTATGAAGGCTATTTTAAATGGTTTTTATCGTATACGTAACGACCTATCGCCTCCCCAAAAAAATGCAAACTGCATCGTCTTCCCTTAAAAATCTGCTTTCCTACGTCACTTACCATAAACCGATTAAACTACCTCAAGGATGTTGACTAGACGTGCAAACTTACTGTACTTTTGGTAATTTGCCGAAAAATCGTCCGCCAGTGTACTACTGGTAATCGAGACTACACGAAATAATTTAAAAAAAACTGAATGGTTGAGTGGTTATAGATCATGTCCAGGGCCAAATTAAGGCTCTAGTTCTACGGGAAATTTGGAGAGAGTTCCAAGACTTGAATTAACTGTAAAACAGAGCCTCCATGTCCAACCTGTTTACGTAATATTAGTTAAAACTGACGTGAGTGGGGACACGAATAGGTCGTTACGGAAGTCGAATTCGACAAGCACACACATGTACACATGACAAGACGATGGTCATTCCTAGTCCTGTCACGTATTCTGCCCCCAAACAAGTGGTTATTTGTGGCAGTGGATCTGTGGAGTTCAACCACTCCCTTCTCCGGCGACGAAGACCGAGTGTCGAAGGTCCAAAAACCACCTCAGTGCATTGGCAGACTTTACTTAATTAAAGTTGAGCTGATCTCTTCGTTGTCTGCACTTGGGCAGGGTCATCGGATTAAGGTCATCAGCGCTGAGTTCGTGAGGTTAGCTACGGAAAACGTGCCAAGGTCACCCTATTCGGTTCCCCTGAAATGCCCCAGATATCCTCGACATTATTTTGCAGCGAGTGTAGACTGTCTTATTCGAGACGAATACAGTCTACATCGCTTGAGGGAGAGTTCTTAGTGGTGGTAAAACACCTTCAGTTTTCGGTCATCGTCCATATGCACAGTTCCACATTCACAGTCGTACGGGAGAACTGCCCGGACGGACGCCAGACACGATAATCTTCTCGGGCACAAAGGTATCCATTGTGCTCATGAGAACCTTGCAAGGATTCTTAAAACTGCATGACACATCGATCCTGGAGACATTTTTGTTCTTACTCTGTTCATTTGGTGGCAACCCAAGAAGAACGCAGACCCATTAGACCTGTAGAACTTGAAGGCACATTGTGCATGAAAGACCATGACGGGGATTGCCGGCCAAGCAGGAACAGGCAAATCGGCATTAGCGTAGCAATCACTGGTCACAGGCAAACAGGCGGATAGAAACAGAGGACAACGGAGAGATAGGCGGACCTGGAACAAACATGGATAATGCAGATTGGGGCAGTGGTTATTGTCATCCCGACGACGCGCCCTCGGTCGGTTGATGCAGAAAGGCATTTTCCGTTGTGATAACAACCACCCATCCCCCTACCCGCGAGGTGCAGCCTGCAAAAATGGTCTTGTGGGAGATTGGGTATGGCTGACTGACAAATACTTCTATCCCAGTATCTCTTGTCTACCTGAAAATACTCCTCTATTGTCTATGTGCATTCATGTACATACGATATACATGTATCTAGGCTGTCAACAATTTGCGAGTGGGATTTCCGTAAGCCGTTTGAAAACTGTGTCATAAAATCGGCATGTTATATTGTACGAGGTAATCGGAGATTGGGCCTACTATCGGTACTGCAACCATAATAAAGAATTTCCTTCTGTCTGGCGGCATCTTCAGGGTAGGTCGCAGCAAGTCAGAGGGCAAGAGGTAGATAAATCTGGACGGTGTATGGGGAGTCCGTGACGATCTAAGATTTTCTAGTCACACCAGCAAACAGAAAAACTCCTATAGGTTGCTGACTTTGACGACGTGATCGGTAAAATGGAATCAATCGATATAATTTGCTTACAGTGGGTGGACTAACTCATGAAATGTCAACCTAAATTCTGAAATGCGTTTTCGAAAAGATTAATTAAGTAGGGTTGTTGAACTGATCATCGTGCAGCATAAATCTATAGTAATTCAGTTACCTCAGGGTGCCGGCTTTCGAACAAACTACTTTCCAGCTACATGCAACGACTACACTGAGTAAAAAGTGACTAATTAAACAGCATGCATTTTTCTCATTGATTTTCGATGCCTCTAAAAGTCCAATTATGTTTCATGGAAAACATGCATAAAAATTTTCATTCTTTTGCTAGTTCGGTAGAAAATTACGCCTACTAGTTTTATACTCGAAGGCAAGGTATGATTCGGTTTTCAAAACATTTTCTGATTCCCGAATAATTTTGAAGTCGACCTGTCGGTACACTTGCGTTTGGGGTTTCCAAACTACAAACCGTATATTTTCCGCGTACGGAAAACCATACATTTCTCTAAGGTATTAAGAGAAAACCATCTGGAGTTCATGAAATTTAGCAGTGGATTTCAGCCATGTTAACTTTACATGCCACATTTGTAAATGCAGAGGCATGACATTTTATGAACGGCCATTTCACGGTATTAAAGAATCTCACAATTAGAAACTTTTTGAAAACCGAATTACACCCTTCCTTCGAGTAGAAATTGGAAGACGTTACTTTCTACCGAATGAGCAAAAGAATGAATATTTTTATGCATGTTTTCCATAAAACATAATTGAATATTTAATGGCATCGAAAATCAATGAGAAAAATGCATGTTACATAAGTAGTCTTTTTACTGAGTATAGTTTTTGCGTGAAGCCGGAAGGAAGTTTGTTTAAAAGCCGACATCCCGAGGTGACTAAATTATTAGAGCATTATGCTATACGATGATTAGTTTTACAAGCCTATTTAATTAATATATTCGAAAGGAAAACGAATTTCGGAATTTCCGTTGACATTTCATGAGTTAGCCCATCTACTGTATGTTATAGTGAATTGTCTTCAAAACCGTTACGGAAGAGTGAGGTTTAGATGACTTGCGTATATTCAGCCAGGCCACGAGACGGGGCGTGCACCTCATGAGTTTACAGTATTCACCAAAACGCACGGCGTGGCAGCTTTCTCCGTCTTCAGCACCGAAAATCATCCTTACACGACAGGACTGCCTAAAACAGTTTTACCGGTCAGTTTGAACTTGCAGTCTGTCCTTTAATCCAGAAATTGGGGTCCCAGGTGGACAACGAAATGAAGTTAGATAAGTGCCCACTGTACGAGCCATAGTTTTACCTGAATAGGTTTGCCGACTCGGAATTCAGCAGGTGTCTCTTCAGGACCAAATAAAGGAGTCTACCATAACAGTCACGTCAGTCACTGAGGGAAAAGTTGCCGAGAGCACAATTTGTTAAGTTTAAGATTTTGGACGCGATCCTATAGTGACCTATCCTCATTATTACTCGTGTAAAGCTTGAAAACATGGACATTGACTACGAAAACATCAGCGGCGGGAAGGTCTTTGACTGATACCGGGATTACTCATTTGCTGGACTCACATAGCTGTAACGTCAGCAGATAGATAGGAATATTGCTACATTTAAACGCGTGTATTTTGTGATAACGTTTGCTTGTGCTAGAGATTATAAAAGGAAACTAATTTCGTTCATTACGGCAGAGAAATCCTAAGGTGTTGGTGTCCGCGGAAGCGGTAACACGAATTGTGCTGTGCATTGAGACAAACTGCTTATCCGACAGAACATGCGTACAGAGATCCTAACTCTGCTTGGTTTTAGGATCCAAACACAAGTCTATAAAGGCGGAGGTTGCAACCTTCATGCCGTAAAGGTATCAAAGCTTACGATGTTCTCTTAGATCACAGACTTTTCAGTCCTCATCTTAATATTAGAGGACAATTTCCGCATGACTACTCAACGGTTCTAAATCTGCCCAAAATTGTAATAATTGCTACCCTAAAGGATGTGCGTAGTGGCTCATGCAGATTAAGAGGTTGTCTTCCGGGAGGTTCAATCGAATGCTGAAAAAGCTATCATAGCGACTCTGGGATTGGCGTGCAAAATGATAACGGTTGCTTAGAATATACTGCATGCCCTAAAACCGGGTAAGGTACACCATCTCCTAGGACTCGATAATGTGACAGACTAAGAACGGACGCGCATGACGGTGGAACCAGGCGTTGTAACAAAAAGAAACGCATCTCCTAACGGACACTTCGAGACGGGATCAACATGACGGTGTACTAGTACATTTTCATCGGATGGAAGACGTCTGTCTCATAATCGACAAAGAGCATCACGGTAAGTCAGATGAGAGAGATCCCTATGGACGATACTAGAGGTTCACGCAAGAGAGGAAATGACAAAAAACACCGTGGAGAACGGCAGACCCCAGGCGGTGGTTAAAATCAGCAGCCGTGAATAAAGGGAGAGATAAAATTAAAACGAAATCGATTTGCCAAGTGCACATGTCGACTCGGCTGGTGGACTGCAGAGCATGCCGGTGCCGAGGACTCGTTCACGAATGAAAGTAAGCTGACTCTCATGCCGATTTTTACCGGGTTCTACGGCTGCAGGTTTGTGAAGACACTCCGTTTATGGGAAAAAGTAGCAAGATGGATCAGGAGCCTCGTCTAAAGAGACAGGAGGCAAAAATATCAAAACGCGAATTCATGCCTTTGTCCGGTAAAGTAGTTTATCAGCCAGAAGAAGGGTGTGCCCAGGCCTGCTTATTAACACGGATGAAAACTGCTGGGCTATAACCCTGACAAGAATAAACGGAGACAACACCACTAGTCTGCGAAGTCGAGCGAATCGAGGTTCACTGACATAAAAATGTAGGCCTTGCGTAAGTCTAGTTGAAATGATAGTGGCTACCCTATGGGTTTGTTCATCTTCATCCATGAGGACATTCACGATTCCGAGAGCTCGTTTGTAACCCACACTTTAATTGGTCTTCGGCGATAAAGACTTTAGCCGTATCCATCTTGGTTTCTTCCCACATCCACCATGCTCTTACGGCAATAAGAAATCAAGACGACCAGAGACGAGAGCATGTATAGTGGCAGGCGTAACTAGATCTATGCGTACGTTTGTAGTTTTAGTGGACAGCCAAAGCGGCGTTAAACTCTATTTAATTTCCGGTCCTGAATGGTTATCCACTTTTATTGCTGGCGTTAGGCCCGCATCGATCGTCTTGACAAAAACAGATGCTCGGGACAACCACAGTCCGTCTCGCCACAGACACCCTCTGGACATGAGACTTGTGACTCTGTCTCCAAAAACCCGTAAAGGGAGCCAGCAAGAAGGTCCACTTTCCAGGAAAGATGACACCGTCAGTCCATGTCCTGAAGCTGGCAGTGACCAGCGCCGCCCGAAGCGCTTGTTTTGGAGCCTCACAAGATAACTCCTTCATTATGGTGTCTGTCTTCTCCTGTTAACTAAGACGCAGTCCGGTGATTTTAGCGGTTAAGGCGAACTCACTAGTGCAGTCACCACAGTTGCCAAAGTTATATGAAGTAACAGGAATAAGCTGATCCCTTATTGATTTTAAAATATTCTTAATTAGGCACCCTTAGTCTGCTTACTACTGAGTTCAAATTTCGCAACCACCCAAAGCATGAGATATCTGATCTAACTCAATCGAGAGAGGTACTTTATAGTCAGCGATACCCCAATTTCAGATAGTCTTCATTTCTGGGTTCGGTAAGTTTGGAAAGGCCCTTCCAAGTTTCTATTAAAATTAAACTAGCGACTAAGTTCGCATTTGAAAACGTTACGTTGTTAGCAATTGTAACAGTTTCGCGTGAAATGATTGTTACCAATGCCACAAGATAATTAGAGGACATCAAACTATAGAAAATCCATGGAAAGGCTGGATCCCCGTAAAAACGACAGAGAATAGTCACTTGCTTCAAAGACTGTTGGTAAGTATGAATGATTGTCTACAGTGCGAACACGAACGTTGGCTTGGTTATAGTTTCATGTCTGTCACCTACACCGACCTAGGTTGGTGCCTGCCGTTCGTACACCAGTCGTATAGGCTTTGACTTACGTAACACGCTAGCAAAAGTCGTCCCACAGAAGCCTCAACAGTATTAGTAAAGATTATTGAAATAAGTACTCTTTAATAGACCGATTTCTTCAGGATAAATAAGTTGGGCAAAACGATTAAAGTACCTCTGGATATCGGCATTTGTTAACATGTCTGGGCTATATCCAGGCGTTGATTCAATATCTTCATAAATTTCTACTGCTAGTAAAGAAAGTTAATGGAATGAAATAGGTTTACTTGGACCATGACGTTTCGAGAAGTATTCATTCTCAGAGGGGATGAGCTCCGATCGAGCTGAGTCAACAGACAACTTATCAGGAACGCGCATCCGCTGATTTATATCCGTTCTGTATCTCCACTCATAATCGGAGAGTGGGGTTGACAACGGATCCATGACAAAACAAAACGGCCGGAAGAAATGTGCGACAATCAAGCGTCTAATGGATCTCTAGTAATGGTTTCGTCTTTTCCGCCCGAATTTCAATCGATTGAAATTTCACATGCATTTCCATCAAATTTTTGTATTTTTTAAGATTTAGCCAGTCCCAGCATCTCCAAACTTCTCTTTTCCTTCAGCTCCGTTTAAATTTTTCTCATCGCCTCTTCCATAAGTGACTTGTTCTGATTTATATGAAAGAGGTTGACGTCATTTTAGCTCGTTCTTTGTTTCAGTTCAGTTCAGTTCAGTTTATTGAGGGAAATAGGCGTAAGCCTTGGAGTACCCTATTTGCAACGTAAAAAATGTGTGGTGTACAGATAGATGTTCTGGGCTGAAATAGTTCGAACACGCCCATAATGGTGGGAAAAAATGAG